AGCATGAGCAGGGGAGAGGAAGAGGCAGACTCCCCACTAAGCAGGGAGCCCCATGCGAGGCTCGATTCCAGGATCCAGAGATCGTGACCTGAGCCAAAGGTAGACTTAACCGACTGAGCCACCCAGGCGCCTCAAGAGTGAGAGAAGTTGTAGCCTTCTCATCAGATAGAAAATGCCATTAAAATTATGATGCAGTTAAAGGGTGGTCCTCACTCTCGTTCTTGTCTCAGCTCTGCCACTGGCAAGCTAGGACCTTAGGCAGATCCCTGTCCTGCCTGTTTCTCAGTGTGGACATCTGTGAGCATTGTCATCATGCCTCCCAGGTAGAGAGGCTTCGAGGAAGATACTCTAATATTTTTAACAATAGAGAGTAACTTATTCGTTTAGATAGAATCTACTTTCTGGAACTTTAAAAGCTTTGTACAATGTAGACAGATTTAATGTATTTACCGTTAAGTGTTATATTGGTATCAAGCTACAATAAAGGATTTTAAAATTTTGTGAAATTTTAAAACTTCCTAGTTCATACATGAATATACTATCACCGTTTAAAAAATTTCAGGCAATTAGTGTCTCCTCACTGTTCTTGTTCCTATTCCAGCGATAAGGACTATAATTAGTGTGTATTTATTCTTCCCGGCTGTTTTTCCATGTATTTGCAAATACATGGTGGCAGAGATTGCTGCTGTCATAGCATTTCCCCCTTCTTCCTTTACTGACGAGTTTCTGGAGTTTTACCTGGACGCCTGGCAGGTGAAGACTCGGCTTCCCTGCCTCCCTGATAGTTAATTGTGGCCCCGTGACTGGGCGGTGGGATGTGAGTGGAACTTCCAGATTGGGCTCTTAAATAATCTCAGCCTCTTGCTGGCTGAGATTCTGGGGGGACCTTAAGCAGTGATATGGGAGCTACAGAGGTTGTGTGTTGAGGCTGGAGAAGCTGGCCTGCCAGCCTTGAACTGCTTTCCTTCTACCTGTTACTTAAAAGCAAAATAAATTCCTGACTTGCTTAAAACCACTGTCTTTTGGAGTCTCTTTATTACAGAAGTAGCTTTGTTTTATAGGTGTGATTTAACGTGGATGGGATTATATTATCCTTACTGTTTTGCAGCTAGCTTTTCATTTAATGTTATATGCAAGACATCTTTTCATCCCTGAAATTATGACTCTACATTCATGGAACTGCTGGATTAAAAATGACATAGATTTTTAAAAATTTAAAAAATTTTTAAATTTAAATTCAATTTAATTAGCATACACTATATTATTAGTTTCAGAGGTAGAATTCAGTGATTCATCAGTTGCATACAATGCCCAGCTTTGCCTGTTACTTCAAGTGCCCTCCTTAATGCCCGTCACCCAGTTACCTCATCCCCCCACGCCCCTCCACTCCAGCAACCCTCAGTTTGTTCCCTAGAGTTGTCTCTTATGATTTGCCTACCTCTCTGTTTTCGTCTTCTTTTTCTTTCCCTTCCCCTATGTTCATCTGTTTTGTTTCTTAAATTCTACATAATTGAAAAAAATGACAGATTTTTAATTTTAATGGATGTAGTGAAACTGCTTCCTTCCATTTACACTCCATAAGAGGACCCATTCTCCACAACCTTACCAGCAATCATTCTCGGGAGGTTTTTGTTTTTGTTTTGTTTTTAACCAATGTTAACGGTTGAAAAGACCTTGTTTGAACTTCAGTTACTCTGATTACTTATACAACCAAACACTTCCATGTTTTTGGCCATTTGTAGATCTTGAGTGTTGCCTGCTCACATCACATTTGCCTAGTTTTACAATTGGGTTATAAATCTTTTAGGGTCCCTCCCCCCAAACAAAAATGAAAAGGCGATTGCCCCCAATTATTACTAAAGCTTTTCATTCTTCATTCTTCTCTCTGTTCATTCTTCTCTCCACCCATCTGAAATGCCAAGGTTATCATATGCTAAGTTGTCTCTTCCTGGACAATGGATCCAGATACCTGTTCTACCAACCACACTCTTCACTGTTGACTTTGAACTATGTTTTGGTATCTACACGCAAGTTCCTAGTCCTTCCGGCCTCTGCCCCCATTGTCTTGTGTATTTCCTGTTCTGGGTAAATCTTAGAATCAGTTTATTGTGTCACTAAGATTGTGTTGCTCTTTTGATTGGGATTGCATTCGTTTATTCATTGATTTGAGGATAATAGACTTCTTCAAATTAATACAATTTTTCACATTAGGATCATGATAGGTCTCATTAAAGTATTTTATATTCTTGGATAAAATTTTAATAACGTTCTTCATAAAGGTCTTGCCACATTTCATATTAGGCTTATTCCTAGGTATTTTATAGTTTTTTAGTTTTGGTTGGGGATCTTTCTTACATAAAAATGTGGAGAATTAGAACATCCATGTATCTACTTTGCATATGATGTCATTTATCATATAGAAGTTTTAAATTTAAGTATAGTCAAATTCAGTCTTTTCTATGTTTTGTTTCCTTATTTAAGAGTCCCTTTCCTAATCTGAGGTCATGATTACATTCTCAAATTTTCTTGTAAATTCCACATGGATAGTTATTTTTCCAACACCTCTAGAAAAAATAGCCCATCCTTTCCCTCTGATTTGTGAAGCTATCTCTATGATTATATCAAACTATCATATAATTATGGAAATATTTCTGGGCTCTGTATTCTGTTAAATTGGTCCACTTAGCTAACTTTGCCAATAACTCATTGTTTTAATCATTGTAGCTTTATAATTTTTTCTCATATGGTAGAATGATTCCCCTCATCTTCCAAAAATGCCTTAGTTCCTGGTTCCATGTAAATTTGGGGATGAGGTTGTCACATTTAGATTCTCGTTTTCAAAATTGTAATGATTTATACAGATTATTTGGGGAGGATTGTTTATGATCTTGAGTTTCTCATCTATGAATAAGACATTATTCCATTTTTATTTTATTTATTTATTTATTTTTTTAAAAGATTTATTTGAGAGAGAGAGAA